CAATGGTGCTTCTTGTGTATGTCTGATTTGGAATGTTCTGGTCATTCTTTTCTTCACTGTCTGGTTTCCTTGGGCTTATGGTTGAAGCTGATCAGGAAGATGGTATAACTTGGGTACTTCCAAGGTATTGCTTTTCTCTTAGCCAAACTCATGTTCTGGTTTAGAAGGGTAAGAAAGCTAAGGTTATAAAGGGTTGGTTCACGCAGTGGCAAAGCTATGGGACAGAGTTCAGTTTTTGTCTGCCCTTTGGGCCTCGGTTTCCCCTGAGTTCGGGGGAATTTCTCTCTTTCATTTGTTTAGAATAGATAGGGTCAGCCTTATGGTTTGTATTTGGGTGTTTTAGCTCTTTTGCAGTTAGCTGTGTTTTTTCCTGCTTTCTGTTTGTGGTGGTTTTCTGGACCACTCTTTTTGTTTCTCTTTTCTTCTTAATAATATTGTTTATTTATAGGAATAAATAAAAATTATCCCCTGAAATTCCCAATATCAGTATCATTTTTAAGAAATTATTAGCATTTGCATGGTTGATAAAGCATTAATTGTATTCATTCTGGTTTTATATGTCATCTCTCCAGTCTTAACCCCTCCTTCCTTTTAACCTTAGTTTCTTTATCTCTTCCTTTTAACCAGGTTAAGATGGCAGTACAGTATATGCGTCGGATAATTGAGAAGAAGGCAAAGTTTGATATCATGGATCTTAATTGCTTGCAGGTCTTTCTATATTAATAGTTTTGTTAACATTGGATGAGTTATCATTAGCCCCTTTCCCTGTTATCTCTTACAATAGTTGAAGAGTTACATTGCGGAGTCCACTCTGTTGCCTAGTCCAATTTGAACGTCTATTTTTTATGTTGCCTTTAAAAGACCATCCTTGCAAAAAAAAAAAAAAAAAAAAAAAATACCAATTATAATTAAGTAGATGAACATCGTGTTTCCATTAAACAGACCCAAATGCATTTACTTTTCCATTCCTATGTTGTTAGTAAACTCATGAATGGGAGTCATACCCATTCCTTTCAAATTCTTGATTGTTAGTAAATACAAGAATGGGAATGATACCCATTCCTAACAAATCCATTCCTTGTAATTTTCGAATTGGCTGATCTTTTGCGTAGATTATTCTTAAAAGGAGACTTGATAAATGGATTGACTGGATCATTGAACCACATTACAGGGCCACTAGCAGTGTGTCCCTTATTTTAGCTAAGGGGATCATAAATGTGTCATTTCTCAGGGATGAGTTAGACACATGCTGAACCAATACTTGTTATTTTTAAACTCTCTGCAGCCATTAGATCATTTATATGCATAAGCGTGTGTGTATAATCTACCACTATATATATTATTTTCTGAAAAGAACTTTAATCTACCACTACATATTGAATTCGGTCATTTGTGTAATACTGGCAGGTAGCAATCAAAACATTCATTCCTGCTTTATTTGGACATGCCAAGGATGACAAATTCATCCAAACCCATCATTCTGACATCATTTACAAGTCTTATGCGGTATTGCCCTCATTGAAGGATCTTATCCTTACGTTAAAGTAATATGTTGCACTTGATACAGGGAGAAACAAATACATCTTTGATGCTTTGCAGGGGGACAAAAATATTATACATTTCGATGGTGATCACAACTCTTCTCGACCACAGTTTTATTATGATTCAGTTTCCATTTTCTTCTATAATGTTCTCCATCCCCCGCAAACGTCTTCTCATTCATGTAAGCTTGACAAGTGTTATGGTTTGGGGGATTTGAAGATTGGTGCTGGTTTGGATGAGGTGATTTCTGTTTCATATGATTTATTGTGGAAAACCTTCTTGTGTTACCATTGGTCATCAATTTTGTTATCATGACTGCTAGTATTGTGCAAGCTGACGCTCCAACCAATTTACATATGCTTTTAAGAATCCCGTGTCAATGGACTGTAGCTCTAATCGATACTTCGTAACCAAAGGGCATTTCTCCCAAAATCAAAGTGAGAGGATGGAAGTTAGAGCTTGTGGCAGTCATGCATCATTTTGTTATGGCTCATGTAATTGAGAAAGCCGTTTACTTTGACTATGCCTTATAAGTCATAGCCACTATCTGGGATTGGGAAATAGAGCTCCACTACCATAGAGTGTTACATAATTTCCCGCACTAAAATGAATATGTCCCCACCCCTTTTGTAGGGCTTGTTATATGAGATAATTACTGGAGTTCATTCTGCGGGTACTGACGTGGCAAGTTCATCTTCTGCTCCTCCTGCCATTTCAACCACAAAATGTGTGGGCAAACTTCTTTATGAATTTGCACCAGCGACTACTGCTGTTGTATGTCCTTATTTTCTTTTAGTGTTTTTTTTTTTTACCGTTTGTCTCTCCATATGCTCCATTTTATTGAGTCATTCTGTAACATACTAGTTATTGAGAATGCAGGATTCTGTGAATGATGAAGCTGACACACTTAACAGTCACAAACCATCACATTTAGAGGTGACGTAAACTTTTAGATTTTTTTCCCCATCTTTTCAATTTAGGTCAGTCATCAGAGTAGAAAACCATGGATTGGCAATGGTTTTTAGTTAGCTTGGTAATGCAGATGATAGTTTCTTGTTCCAATGGAGTTTTGTGTGTTCATGTATTGATGAAGTGCTTTTTAAGTCAAGAAGAATTCAGTATACATTGTATTAAAAGACAGATCATACTCGCGGCTCATATGACTTTTCAACTTGTCTGCTTCACAGATTGTAATACTGAAATACTGCAGTTATGGTTTTACAGGAGCAGACTAATGGTGAGAATGTAGAATGTTGTTCATATACAAGCTCAAACAGGGAGAGTTGGGGCAGATGCTCTTCATTAGGAGGCAGTGATGAAGAATCTTCTGCTGATTGCACAGCTGCTGACAGCAGTCATCAGGTCTCTCTTTCTCACACAACGCCCAACACCCAACCTATGACTCTCTTTATAATTCAGATTCCTGTAGAGACTTTTATTTTCTTCACACACCAATTAAAAGTTTTTATTTAATGTTAGCTTCTGTTCAGTGGGACTTGTCAGCATGAATTAAGGTGGTAAATGTAATGTTGTAGACTCATCTAGACCTGGATCCTGGTTCTTATGGTCTATGGGTTTAGTTTACTGGAGAATGGGAAATATTCTATCAGGATGTTTTAGGTACATTGGTCACTTAAAGAATGGGTAATTGTATGTTTCCGGTATATTTATATCTACTGGAAAGTTAATTATACGTAACATACTATTGCGCATTCTTCACGCACTGCGTAGGATTTAAAAAATATATTTCCAAGTTTATGTTTCATGATTGTAAGTTGCCCCTTTTGATTGTAGAAGAACCTTAAGGTGTTTGCGAGGCCTCTTCGATGCATACAACAAAAATCATCAGAGCTAAGAAAAGAGGAAAAGAAAAAGAAGAAAGTTCTCGTTGCTCCAAAGAAGACCAAGAGTGAGAAATTTGAAAAGTTTGAGGCCCTGAGCAAACGACTGCGTCTTTGCATCCTAAAGCGAGTGAAAAATTGCAGACATCCCACTTAGTGACTGCTGTAGTATAAAAAGTGTGTGTAGCTACAATTGTTTTACCTTATGTTGTTGATGTATTCTTCAACCTTGTATGGGTTGTTAAATCTTTTTTTTTTTCTTTTCCTTGTTTAAAATCATTGATTGGTGATGTTCTTATTTCCTTGTCATGGGCCTGTTCTAATTTCTGCGTGCCATTTTCGTGTCACGTAAGGGTTCCAAGAAGATCTATCAGTATCGGGTTCCTATTGCCCTCCGTCTCCCTCACATGTGGCGTTCCAGTGCCATAATGCAATGCAGAGGGAATCTGTTGGGCCATAGGAGGACTAACATGAACAGGTTCGCTGCTGCCACCCCGCGACAGTTTGTCATGTCAGATTCTGAACTCTCGCTACTCCCGCACTCACTACTGATGCCTCCCATCCTACAAAGCGCAACTTCCCATACTACCCACTGATGAGAAATTACTTTTAAACTAACTAATTCAAAATTTGATGACCCCACGCCAAGCTAAGTCGCGCTAGCTTGTAACCCATCAAGGTGGTGGGACATCGGTTCAGCTCGTTTGGCAGGACTTGCTGTTGCAATTTGCTGGCTACAAAAATAAATAAATAAATTTACTAACCCCCTCCCCTGTTTTCACCTGCTTCTCTTTGACTTTTTTTCTTATATTTACTCTGATAAAACATCTGCACGCCATTAAGACCCAGGCTATGGCCAAATTTCGAGAGAGAGGATTCTCGAAGGATCCTCCAATCATATCCGTTCATCGTATATTATGCAGTTAATTTTTGTCAGATACTGTTTATATTAATTTTAAATAAAAAAATACAATGATTTCTAATCACACGATGTACGATAAATAGATGTAATTGGAGGATCCAACAAAAATATCTCAGAGTTTTCCTTTATTAAAGTTGCCTGACACTACATGTGCGTATTTTTCACATACTATATACAAGTCCCGTATTTTACTATGTTGCCTTGATTTGGTTGAAAATTCTCTTGTTTAATTTAAGGAATTTAGGCATACCCAAGCCGTCGCACTACGGATCAGGATCCTCTCCTGAGCAAAGGGTGAGGATTCTCCTGACCAAGTCTATCGGACCGTTAAAATTTTATCCAACGGCTACAAACAATGAGTCTCTAAAAGTTATAATAATTGTAACCGTTTGATAAAATTTTCACGGTCCGATGGACTTAGTTAGAAGGATCCTCACCCTTTGCTCAGGAGAGGATCCTGATCCGTCGCACTACATGTTGAGGCCTACTCTTGAAAGTTCAACACATTTCAGTGCTCGACTTTCTAACAAGAGCACTTCTAGCATAAGTATTTCCTACAGAGGCAATCCCAGCCAAAGCTCTTAGTTCTGGTTGTGATAATTGAATTTAAGTAACTAAGGTCAGCTAAGAATATCCGAAGATGGAATCAGAAAACGCATCTAAAGAATATCTATCTGGCCACAAACAAGAAGCTGTGAAGTAAATAGTAATCGTATTGCAGTAGAGTTACTAATTCCAACCGTTGATCACATCAATGCACTCCATCTAAATAAGGCACAGAGTTCACTGATGTGCTAGAAGCTTGAACCTGATTAATGTGCACACCTGTAATTAGCAACATTCTTTCACTTGATTAGAGTCGAGACATATCTCCCAAGGAAACTCAAAGGCAAATTCAAAACTCAATAATACTAAGCTACATGTCACTGCCTGCATCTTTTTCCAATTGATTTTCATTCCTGAATGAAATCCCGGATGAGGGATGAAACTGCTCCCTAGGCAGGAAAGCTGTATGTCCTTGCTGGTAGGAAGAGTTTAAGCTCGACTCTAGTATCTGGTGTGTAAGCACAGCTTCTGGATCAGTGAATGCTTCACCTATGTTAACCCGTCGCTTCTTTGTCAACCTCTCTACTTTTGGACTCTCAGCTGGAGAACCAACATGACAACCAGAATCTGGAGTTAAGGGTTCACGATGCGATGAGAAAGATTCATCAATGGAAATGCTCTTGGCTGGCACACATTCCTTGGCGGCCTTGTCTTGGAGGGGGCACTCTGAGGTCGGGGCAGGAGTTGCAGGATCAGTCTTGTTGTCAGATTCTGGGCAATTGTCACTTGACAAACGAGCTAAGTGCCCAGAGCCAGGTGCTTCTGAAAGAACTCCACTAAGTCGCTGCTGCTCTTCAATAATTTTCTTCAAGTATTTACCTTGGGCTTCTATCCGTAACTGTAGCTGTCTCTGTACCTGTTGGGCATTTATGAGTTCAGCTTATCAGCCAATACTGGTCTGAATAAACTAGACCTTTCCCCCTTCCCCCTTTATCCTCTATGCATAATATGCAGCAAAATTTGTAGTATGGTAGTTGGGTAGGAGACGGTTTTAACTGATCTCTTTGCTATCCAAGAACTTGGTCATTCAATCTTGCTAAGGATTTCTGACACTATCAACATCATTTTTTAGGGTATACATTGCTTTAAGATAGGTGAATCCGAAATAGCTAATTTGAACTTTGAGTGGCAACAATAACCGTGAAAAGTATATACCTTAAGCGATATAATGCTTTGTAGCAAAGAAAAGATAAAAACCATTTGCAAAATCATTTCTTCTTTTTGATCAAATTGTTCATTGAATAGACATTTTTCTTATCTCAAGTGGATAACATATACATGCTGTTGGTAAATGTAAAACCCAGTGAAAATACATGATTTTATTGGAATCTATATTCGGTCGAGAAAACATGCCTCTAATTGCTCATGTAGTCGTTTCTGCACCTCCATCTGCAGCTTGAGTGCTTCTGTGATTTGCATTCCACTGTGAACAGAAACAGTACATACTTCCTCACATCAATCAGCAAAACTGACAATTTACACAAACTGATAGTTTCACATGCAATAATAATTCAGTAATATTCTATTTTTGTATGCTCCATGTGGCTTAAAAACAGTGAACTAGATATGAATCCTTCAATTTTAAACTTTGACTTCAGATTCCTTTAGAATAGAATACAGGGTTCTGATTGACATGGCCCATATCTTAGCTGATAACAGAAAGAAATGTCGAGTATAAAAGGCAGATCTACTTACGATGAACCATCCAAATTGGAAAGCACATCCCCAGGTTCTTTCTTGTCAGCTTTTTTCCCTTGCATAACATGTGAAGAGAAACACAGTAAGGGTCCAATAATAATTCATCTTTGATAAGCCTTTATCACTATAGAGGACCTGCCTACTATGGAATCCGAATTCACAAATAATTAACACGAAAGAATCAAGTTCACCTACCATCAGATGAGGAGTCTGGTAGGTATTTTGCAAGTCGATATTTCTGAGTGCATCACACAAGCGATATTAGAGGAAACACCATCGAGAAAGAAATGTATCCTCACTCCTTCTCACACCCGCCAAAAATAAGAAGAAAATAAAGGAAAAGTCAAGCATTGGACAGAAGGTATTTTTACATACCTGTAAATGGCTTTTTACATGGTATATGGTTAAACCTTGTACACCCATCACTCTCAACACACCTTTAGGCGTCGCACCTAGAAAAAGATTAAAAGGAAATAACATAAGATTAAATAAACAATATCACTACAGAAAGTGGACAGATGCCTGATGCCTCTATTGGAACTCAGAAATCCCTAGGTCATAATGCATCTATCCTAGATCTTTGGTCATGCAAAATATCATCTTCTGATCTCAACCAAGTTCTCAAACATATTACATACACCACATATGCAAGATCAAGTATGATTTAAAACTGGGACCAATTTTTATCCAAAGAATCATATATGATATATCTGGAAGGCCATTATGGGTCACTGTTGGAATTCACTATGAATTGTGAGCTGAAAAACACTATCAACAAACTAAAAAACTGGTCTTCCCTCAGTTAAATGGAAAATCAACCTGATTTTTTTCTCCACACAATAGGAGAGATTGCTTAGTAGCCCAGGACAAGAAAACCTATTAGATATACATGTCTGGTACAAGAAATAGTTAATTCCATTGTAGTTGATGAAACTATGGAAAATCAATGTAAAGTCAAGTCAAGATTTTGTCTACCTAAGTACAAAACAGGGTCAAAATTTTCCTTCATAAATATCAGCTCCGACTTATATATAGTTTAATTCCCTCGCATCAGCAGATAAATGCAACAACCAACAAAAAAAAAACAAACCCCAGTTGATCAGATTAAAGTTGAGGGTGACTCACGATCTGGGCCACCAAGTTGTGCCACAGCATCAACAAAGCGTTCATGAAGCTCGTGTGTCCAACGCAATCGCTGTTTTGAGGCAAGGTTAGGATTGTTGAGACTGTTTCCTCCACTGACGAGATCCATTGTGTTGATGACACTGTCAAACTGTTAACCATGAACAACAAAGTTGTTGCAGACTAAGCCTGAACTAGGAACATCCTTTAGTGGATACATTTGCCATTTATTTACCTAAAAACAAATGAAAAAGAGAGCCACAAAAATTCATAATGCACAAAAGTAAAGAATAAAAGAAAGAAAATTTAATGACTCATACCGACTAAAACCTTATCTAACACATCAATCAGATGAGAGAAATAATTTCATGCCAAAATTCCAAATAAGTAGCTTAAAATTCTTAAAAGGAATCATCGTCTACCAAAATTCTGTGAATTATACATTCTTTTACAGTAAATAAGAAATAAACAGTCAAACTTGAATATAAGCCTGCAAAAAGGGAAGCATGGCAACTAGACTGTGGTAGAGCTATCTATCCATCTCCCATGACTATTCTACAACACTTGAAAGTATTGATATTGAAAAATTTTAATCTTTCGAAAGGCAGCGAGTTTAGGATTGGTAAGGAGGACCAAGGGCTGCGTCACAATCTCATTCCAAAATGTCACCGAAATTAGGGTTTCATAAACAAGTAAGCTGCTAAATATTATTATGAATTCAGATTTTAGAGAGAAGGAAAAGTATACTTATATTCAATTCATTCATATTTGTTTGTTTGTTTAGGAGAAATGGAGAATTGGCGAAAGAAGAAGAGAAGCGAAGAGACTTACCCAACTCGGACGACGGATCTAGTCTCCTCCATCATATTCCAATTTCCCAACTTTGATCTCTCCTCTCCTCACCTCTCCTCTGCGTGTGTCGCCTCTGTGTGTGGTAGTAGTAATTCAAAAGAATTCAGAACAAGGAAGGAGGTCTAAGTTTTGGAAAAAATGACTCTTTTTCTCAGAGATAGATGGTTTGATCTCTGGTCGTAAGAAAGGGAGAGGGGGGACAGAGAGAGATTCCAGACGGACAAGCGATAGCACCAACCGAAGTATAAAAAGAGCTGAAAAAGATGAGACTTTAGGCCACGACCCTTCCTCGGGGGAAGAACCCAAGTACGAAACTAAGTGGGTAATTGGGCTTAATACCCTTTTACAAACTCACTGACCAAAAGTAAGCATTCTCTGTAAAAAAAAATAATCTAAAAACTCTTCATTATCCACACACTGTTAATATAGACACAAAATTAGTAGATTACTGACACATTTTGGTTTAAAATGACTAGTAAAATTGTATTTTGAAAGCACAGCTAATTTTGATTTGTGTATTTGTAAAAGGGCTAGTAAGCCCAATTTTCCAACGAGTAACAAAATCAACCCCTTCTATCTTTTAAGAACGTCTAATCAAATGTGATTTTATTTTTTCTTTTGTTGTGCATTGAGAAAAATCAATTGTAACGTAAAACAAATACGTATTTGATAAATTATAACTTTAAAAGTATTTAGCGTGTAAAAAATATTCTCACAATTTTTTATGCAAAATTGTTTTAGTTGTGGATAATGACTAAAGTGGACAAGATGTAGGGAATATGGTGATAGTGATCATTGTGGTGCTGGTGCTTGTGATGGTGACGATGGTGAAGCAGTCAGTGATGGTGGAGAAGATGGCGGTGGTAACAGTAAGAAAGTTGTGGCGCCAAAGATGGTGGTGGCAACGGTGATACGGGATGCTAGTGGTGGTGGCATTGACTTGGCAGGTGATGCTAAAGTTGAAAGAAGGTAGATGATGTCATTTATTCAAAATCAATATGTGTATCACATGAATTAAAATATTTATCAAAGTCTATATTATGCTTCTAATGAAAACAACTTGAAAAAAAAAAAAAAAAACTAAATGCTGCTGTCAAATTAGGTCTCTTACTGTCCTTTTATTCAAAAGTGCTCAAGAAAAACAGTAAAATCAAATATCAAAAGAAAATTAAAAACAAGAGACCTAACTCCACCTACCAAGTCTACTGTATTGTTTGCAAATAAGTAAAAAATCAAATATAATAAGACAACTCACATGTGTTAACAAAAGACTGAATTTTTTATGCTGCTTAGTACTAAAGTCTTGTGGTATTCATTTTCACTTGTAAGTAAGAGTTCGATTCTCACCAAAGGGAATTTGAACCATATTTTTGCTAGCCTATTGTGAGGCTTTACCCACTCCTTTACCCCTTTAGTGTAGATAATGTCATTTGCTAAAATAAAAACTATTGAATTTTTTCTTTATGCAAAGGATTCAAAACATGTTTGCTTCTATAAACAAAAAACTCTTGGTCTTATGTCTCGAATCTATTGAAAGATTCATTTTTAAGGCCATCTCCAACTAAAATGGTTAAATATAGCTCTATTAGAATTATAGTCATGTAATAAATTATTTTTAAATGAACAGGGTCAGACCATATTCATATATCATCTCTAAAAGGCTAAACAAAGTCTCTTCAATAATTTATTATTTTTAAGTTCATACTTGAAATAATTAAATTTATTGAATTTAAATTAAATTGCAGCAGATGAAATGTGCCCCAAAAAACAAGTCAAGAGGGGCTACACTTGCCAGCTTGATGCCTCTTTAGTCAAATAATGACATGGTGGGCTCTATTCAATTATAGCCTAGCCATCCGTTAGAGATGAATTTTTGGTCAAATCAAGATAGCATGTTCCATTGGTGATGGTCCAAGAGTATCTCCAAATGAGACGTTAAATTCAAAACTTTAAATTTCAATTTGATGGTTGACTTTAAATATTTTCCTCCCACCCGATATACCAAAATTTATTACTTTATTTCTGTTTTTTTTAACAAAATTTATCAAAGTTGGGTTGTTGTTGGTGTAAAAATAATAAAATAATACTTAAATATGCTAACATTTAAGGTAAGGGAAGTAAAATGTCTTTGGAAGTAGCAAAAACCATATTTGAAGGCAGCGTCAATTTTGCCATCTCTTTGTCCATGCCATCTTAGCCTTATTTTCCATATCAGTTTTGACATCTCAGTTGGAATAAATGGTATGTCATTTGTTACTGTTATATATATATTTGACATTTCCTTTAAAGATAGTCTAATATGCAACCTGCAAACTAGACGGAACTTGAATTCTCAATCCAATAATCCGTAGTCCAGAAACAGTGTTCATGCTACATAACCAGCCTTTGAGTTTCTTGTCTCAACAAGAACAAAAACAACTAACCTCAAGGAATCTGCTTGATAATATTCCGTCCCTTGCCCAAACAACAATTTGTATTTTTTCCGGCAATTTTGTCATCTTCCTTTGCCTCATTTTGGGAGTTGCACCTGTGTTTGGAGTTTACTCTTATCTTATTACAAAACTCATGTGATTCCCACTTGGCCACCTTTGGTTCTCTTCTATATAATTTAATTGTTATAAATACAAGAATTCCACTACTGGCCGGCTTGGAATTTGGAAAAACTAAAATACCATTGTGACATGACAAGCTTGTTTGCCTTGATTATATCAAAGAGACGAAATGGTAATTAGCATTTTGGATGTGTAGTTGCGAGAGAGCAGCACTCTGCTCTATTTCATGAGATCAATTTAATGAAACAATTTCTGTTGTGTTGTTTTTAATTCAATAATGTTGATGTGTTGTTTTTAAGAGTAAAGTTATTCATACCATATTTTTGTATCATATTTTCATAGTATCTTAGGTGACATTTGATATGGATAGTCACATCATTTGAATTAATTAGATTTTTAAATTTAGTTCATTATTTAATAAATTAATAATTAAGAAAAAATATGATGATTGTGGTATACGAGAAGTCTTTCTCCTTCATTTCCTTGGGTTTTGCAAATTTTTCAAATGATGTGGCTGTCCACATTATATGCCACCTAAGGTGGTATAAAAATATGGTATAAAAACATCGTATGAATAACATTACTCTGTTTTTAATTCAAGAAGAGTAATGTTATGCATACCACATTTCTATACCAATTTAGGTGGCATCTGATGTGAACAACCATATCATTTGAAAAATTTGCAAAACCTAACAAAAGGAAGGAAGGAGAAAGACTCCCGTATACTATAATCATAATTTAATTACTAGTTTTTCTTAATTATTAGTTTATTAAATAATGAACTAAATTAAAAAATCTGATTAATTCACATGACGTGATTGTTTAAATCAAATATCATCTAAGATGGTATGAAAATGTGGTACAAAAATATGGTATAAATAACATTACTCATTCAATAATGTCGGTCAATGGAAAATTTTAAAAAGGTATTGATGTATGAAACAAATTTACGCACAACAACATATTAAACAAAGAGAATACGTGACGGTTATTTCATGTAAGTATTCTTTCTTTTAATAATCTTAATAATATAGAAATCACATTCACTTTCTCTTATTCTTATATATTGGAGAGGAAAACAGGTGCTATTTACATTGTAAAAAAATAAGAGTGTATGATTATTTACTTTTTTGTCAGATATAGTAAAAAAAATATTTTAATATTTAAAATCGTATTTAGCCATTCGCCAATTCGTGTCTATGATACAATCGAGGCAACGTAGCTTTTCATCTCATGAAATTTTAGAATCTAGGCCGTCTTGCCTTTTTGTTTTTTCTAATTTTTTTTATTTAGTTAGCTGAGAATTATTGCATTGCTTTTCGAACCGTGATATACTTATAGCTTTCGTCTTTGAGTTGAATTTTTTCCATGCGGTTATGCAGTTTCGGTAGCCTCTGAGGTTATAGCGTTTGCTCCGAGTCAAACATTACGCCAAATCAGAACCACTGACCCCAATGAACGCATTCGTGAGAGTTCGAATTTAAGTTGGAGGATCCAACTCTTTTCTTGCTTTCCAGTAGACCTTTCCATTAGACCAACTCCTTGGAGTTGAATAGTTTATTGAAATTGGTATATAAGACAAATTTAGAGAATGAGTCATTGACGTCAATTCTGAGAGAATTTCATCAAAATTAAGTATGTGAAGTGTCTTGATTTACTTCTTAGAGGTCTCTTTGTGCGTTTCATGTGCTTAGTTTTGACGATAATTCTCACATAGATGGTCTGAAGGACCAGTGCTACACACATATTATCAAATTCAAATACTAATTAATGAATTTTCTAGTTATATTTAATTTGAAGATATTGTATTTAAGAATAATACAAGTGCTATATTAATCTGGTGGTTAAAATCTTCCTTTTCAACCCATGTTGTCACGGATTTCAACCTTCTTTTGTGACTAGATTAGATTAGTAATATCATTTGTAATTAAAAAAAAAAGGCAAGAATTATCCAATATACAAACGCTAGCATTCATTTGTTGGACAACAAAACATGTAAACATTCATTTCTTCATTCAACAGTTCCAATTCAATCCAATCCTGACACTAAACGAAGCCATACACCACAATATTCTCAAGTCTCAACCACTACCGTTCATCATTTAGTTATCGTGTACTTGCACCGCATTATATTTAAGCCACTAGTATGTTGAATTTACAGTTTGAGAGTTGAGACAACTGGCTCACTTTCAATTCCAGCCAACCAAATGGGCAAGAACATATTGTTACGCAAGAGTGAACAAAAGGATCTCGCTGTGGTCATGTTTAAATTCTGCCCTACATGCCATACCTAGCAATCCCACGAGGAGGATCAATTGGGGCTATATTAATCTCTTGGGTTCTCACCTTGGCTTCGCCCCAAACTAAAGATCCATTGCCGGTGTCCAAGCTCAACATTCTTTTTTTCCCACCACCTGGAGATCCTTCCAAGGTCAGTCCTCCAGGGCTCTCATGTGACGTGAGGCAGCTTTCAGTGGAGCAATCAGCTCTCTGGGTATGGATACTAATTGGCAGCTCTTCATCTGGACCATGAACCCCAACTACATCTGTGGATTGCAATGTGTAGAAGCCAAGCATGTCAATGGAGGAACCTTTTGCGTTCTTATTTCCCGACCCATGACATTTATGGCTGTCTGTAT